GGCCCTTACCCCAGGCTGCCATTGCTGCCACCTGGCTGTGCCTTGGCAGCACCTGGGGGATCCTATTCAAAGAATGCCCGGAGCCTCCACGTACTGTGGGGCTGGGGCAGCATTAGAGGATCCACAGAAAGGCAGTGAAGGCTGGGCCGGGGAGAGCTGAGAAGAGCAGGGTCTGGCTCTGAGGCTCTCATTCCAAGCATTTCCTGGATACTAGGAAGTAGCAGCTTGAAACACGTTTATATGCTTTTCCTGAAGTTGCTCAGGTCACTGTGACTGCAGAGCAGGGACCAAAACACTCAAGGGCCCTTGTTCCCAGTCCAGTGCTCTCTAAACCTCAGGTCCCATGGGTGGAGAATGTGGCCCCAGGTGAGTGGGACATTCTTATGGTTTCCTGAAGGACTCTGCCCCTTGGACCCTCACTTGGTTGGGGCTGAGAGTTAGTTAAAGAGCCTCAGGATCCTGCCTTTGGCCTGCCCTGGGTCTTCTGCAGGCCCAGCCAGTGATGCTATGAAGTGGGGCTCCGTCTGTGCTGAGCAATGATGCAGCCAGATCACGAGCGGCTACAGCTTGGACTCTGACGGCTGCACTGCTGCTGCTGAGAGCGCCAGGAAGACAGTGAGAAGGACCCCACCTGAAGAATGCCCATGGTCTAGCAGCAACAGTGAGGATACAGCTTTACAGCCCGAGGCAGGTGCAATTTCAGATCCCAGCCGAGCTCCCCCCTCTGGCCATCCCTTCCTAAAACCACCCCCAGAGGGCAGGTTTAGCATGCTACAGGTTGTCCCAGCTGGAAGGCCTTAGAAAGCCCTGCAATCCAAACCCTTTCTTTCAGCAATAAGGCAATGAGTCTCAGAGAGAACTTGTGACCCGGCCAAGGTCACAAGACCAGTAGGGGACATAGAAGTCTGGGCCCCTGGCACCATTATCAGTCTCTGTGCTCACCTGGTGTCTGCCCTTCCCACCCTCCCGTGAGGAAGGACCCTTTCCCAGATCGAGACCTCTGAGACCTCCCTCTTTTCCAGGCACCTTGAGTATCAAGGGCTTTTGAATAGATGGACACAGGTAGGACCAGGGGTTAGAGCCCCAGCATTGAGGACAAGCGGGGAAGAGGTGCTCCCCAGCACCCACCAGGGACACTGGTGGTTCCTAAAACACTTCTCGAGCTGGGCTTATCCCATTATGGACCAGACTGGTTGGGGTTGTAGTGGAATAGAGCTTCTTCCTCCTTTTCACTGCCTGACCCAGGCTTCACTGTGCCACTAGGGACACTGGCTCTCTTCTACTCTCCTTCCTGAGCCTGGAGAACTCCACCAACAGGCCTCTCAGAAGCAGGCAGATTCGCAGCTACCACTTCCTTGCACCCAGCACCAGCTTCTCTATGTACACCATGGACACCATTGATCTTTGAGTCAGACGAAGGAGCTGGGGAGGCCTCCAGTGCCCCAAGCATCACAGGGGTCTTGCCTCTGCTGATGGCTGCCTAATTTGGGGATAGTCACATCTCAGCTCTTTCATGTATAAATGAAAGGGTTGACAAACAGCCACTTCCCAATACTTCAGCACCCTGGAGATCAGCAGCAAGTGCTGTGGCAGAGCTCCGAGTCCTCCCCCCACCTCAGAGAGACGAAATCTGCTCTTTAGCTTCACACAGTCGCCTCTACATGACATTTCATTTGAACAAAAGAAGCAGCTACTACAAAGACCTTGGAAATGAGCTCTTTACAAGAGCATTAACATTTCTTCTGGTTTAGGATGCCTTCCGTACACATGAATGAGCCCAGGAGATCCCTATTAGATTGGCATCAAAACACCTCCTGTTCATTTATCGCTTCATTCATTTCTTGAGTGCTTGTTATTGCCAAGCAAATGATATTTCCTGCCTCCGTCTTTCACTATGTTTATACCTTCCCTCCCTGCTATACTGGGGTGGTGACACAGCCCTGGGCTGGTGCATTGGGGGGGCTCCCTGGGCTGTCTCGGTTGTTGCTTCCTTTGAAGAGAAATCAGGTTCCACCTGGGGCTGTCTAGGCCTCCTTCAGAGCTGCTAAACTGAGTTCCTTGTGGCGTCTTCCCTTGTGCCACCTCCACCACTACCCTACTCACCTGCCCAGGCACAGTCCACCCCATTGTTGCTGTATCAAGAGGAAGCTGTTTTGGCAAAACAAGACACTTAAACTAAGTGGCCATTGTTACATCAGTCGACCTTCCCGCCCAGCACCCAGCATGGAGCCCTATACGCATACTCCCACACATTTATGCTCACACTTGTTGGCCTATAGAGGACAGTGCAGAGGAAAGTGTGGCAGCAAGAGCCAGGTGGAAGGCTGCTCAGCACCAATAAAAATGTGAATCAGAAATCTCAGGTGGGGATTGTATGCTCCTGGGGCAAAGAGCAAGGGCTTGGGAGGGCTGCATTTGGGCACTGGGGAACAAAAAGGGGATTTGAATTTACTGTTGTGCCACCTTGGGAACCTGCCTAGCCCGCTCTGGGGAAAGTGCTTCATCTTGGATATTCCTGGCCCACTAATCCGGAGTATCTGTGGTTTTGGGCTGATTTAGAATCAGTTTCATTTTAGTAATTTCCAGTGTAGGGCAATCTAATCTACAAAGGATTGTGGCTTTATCAATGAGCCTATTCAATCTTTAATAAGTATTGCATTTCTCAAAGCATTAAAAAAATATGACTCATTTTGAAACAGCACAAAATATGCAGTATTTGGCAAGAACAGATGCACACCTGCTATCACATTCTAATTCCAGTGACTGCCAAGGAACCAGAAAAGGATCTCAGAGGGCAATTTGTCTAACCTTCTCCTTTGGTTGGTGGGGAAACTGAGACATGGAGAGGAGAAAACAGATGTTCAAATTTAGGACCCAGTACTAGTCCCTGGATGATGGTGATAATAATGCTGGTAGTGATGATGATGGTGATGGTGATGATAAACCTTAACATTGTGGCTATATCTGCATCTCTAAGTTGCTTGCTATTTTGGAAGCACTTTACCACGTGGAAGACTATTCTGAGACTCCTTGAGGTAAGCGCTGTTATTATTCTAGTTACAGATGAAGAAACTAGGTACCCAGAGATTAAGTGAATGCCCAAAACTTGATCAGTTCTCCCTTCACCACAGTACACAGCTCTTCTATTTTTTCTTTTTGAGACAGTCTTGCTAAGTTGCCCAAGCTAGCCTCAAACTCATGCATTCACCTCCTGCATAGCTGGGGTGCCCCTTGCATGATCCTTCTGAAGAGCCAGTGGCTCCCATGGGAGCATTATCAGGCCCAAGTCTGTGAACCAGTCTTCTTTGCTATTTTTGGAGCTGAAAGACAAAGCACACAATCTTTCTTTCTGCAATGAAGCCCTCAAGGAGAAGACACAGCCTCACATGACCAGCTTCTCCCAACCAACTCCCATTTGATCAGTCCTAAGACATCTGCAGACAAGGTTAGGAGGCCCAACTATAGTTCTCCTTGCCTGCACACCAGGTTCATTTTACCTTAAATAAGGAGGTGGATGTAAAAACCTGAAAGGAATGTAACGGTTTGTTTCTTTCACTCTAAAACAAGTTCATAAAATTTCTCTTCCAGAATGATCCTGGGACCTACCATACCTTTGACACTCAGTTCATACATTAATTGGGAGTTCTCATTTTTCCATCAAAAGCGAAAGCCCTATTCTCCATTCTCTGCCCCTCCAGCAACCTTCCCTGGTTGCTGGTCCCTTACTCTGGAGAGATGAGCTGCCTAGGCAGACAGCACCCCTATAATCCTGTCCCTGCCCCTACCATCACATCCAGCATGCACGTGGTCACCTGTTTGGTTTGAGAACTATCAAGTTTAGGCTCCCAACAAGCTGCGAAGGAGGACACACCATAGCTATGACTGTAGAGTCATCTTCCACAAGCTCCAGACAAAACTCCATTTTGTTCTGTGTACCACCCTTTCTGTTCACCACTGAGCTTCAGAAGTCAAGGCCCAATGACCTTGGTGGAGTAGAGATGAGTCAAGAAAACCAGAGAAAATGGTGAGCAAGGCAGCCAGGGTCTTGGGGGAGAAAACCAAGGGGCAGCTGAAAGAATAGTGGGAGAAATGATGGTGAGGATTACAGAAACACATCTGGGGCTCAGAATGGATCACAAGCCAACCACCCACTAGGATACAATAAGTTAATCTTTCTCAGACCCAGAGTTGGCCCATTCTTCCCAGAAGGCCGTTTCTTACCACATCGGTAAATATAAACAATACGGAGATGAGCAGAAAACAAGATTACAGGAAAAGTCAGAGAATCAAGGGGATTTTCTCAAGAAAAGAAGGCAGAGGCACAGTTGAACAAGGCCTTGGAAAGCCTTCACGTGTGTATTACTGCCTTGTCCACAGAGCTACTTTCTAGCTGTTTTCTATCACTCCCAAGAGCAGAAGAATCTTGGTTGGAGCTGAAGGAAGTGTAGTTAAGACATAAGGAAGCCCTGCCCAAGGACAAGCATTATTAAACCAAAAAATAAAAGATCAGAAGTAGTTGAAAAAAATCCCCATGAAAATCTTGAATGCACATAGAAAGCCACATTTTCCTGGGAAGGTTTAGCTAAGGGGTTACACAAGGTGACCTTGAAGGTTAGTTTAAAATGTTCTTGATTTTCAAACCAGCAAAAATTAGGTTTGATTAGATTCTCAGCAGGCTAACAGCAGAGTCATCTACCTAACAGGATAGAAGTCCTGGGCGGAATGCTCAGAAGCCACACAGCAGGGTCCAAGATTCAGCCACACAGCCCTGAGACGCATGGCCAGACCCTAGCCCCATCAGCTAGCCTCCCCCAGGGGCTTCTGGGGATCACAATAAACAGGTCAAAAGCCCCCAATCCTAAGTAGCTTCCAACCGGAAAAGGCACATTCAATTTCCCACAAAACCCCAGCCACACGGGTGGCGGTGCCCTACGTGCCTCCCAGCCCTGTCCCTGCTCCCCAGGGCTGGGAGGAGCCCCAAAGCCCACAGACACACTTACTCGGCAGCTGTCCCCCTCCATGGCCTCGGAGGGATCAGTCTTCCAGTCTCAGCTGATGTCGAGGGGAAGAGCCATGTTGACCCTTGGCTCCCCAGGCATGTGGGGAAAAGGAGGTTGAGGCTGAGGCCGGCCCCCACCAAATGGGGGCGGGGAAACCGGGTGATGTGTGAGGTAATCTTGAGTATAAACAACATGGAACTTGCCAGACCTGTCTGTCTGCCCTGTCCCAGGCCATCCCAGTTACTCAGCGAATACCGGGAGTGTGAAGCTAGCTGCCTTGGCTCCTGAAACTGCTCTCACAGAGGCCACTGGGAGGGCTTCGGAGGGCTGCAGGTTTCCTCTTCCAGAGATTCAGAGAGAGGATTGCTTAGCCCTGCTGACCCGAGCCCTTAAAGGGTGATCCTGCTCCCATAAGGGATGCCCAAGGCTAGGAGCAGAGCCCCATGAAGGGCAAGACAGGGTGATTTTCACCTACAAGAACTGCATGTCCAAATCCCAAAGCAAGGCTCCTGGTCTGACAATTTCTTTTTTTTTTCTGAACTCCATTTATTTCTGTGAAAATTCTTAACAAAGGAATTACAAGGAAAGGGCCTTTAATTATGCATACGGTAATAAATTGCCTCTCTTGAAAACAATAAAAACGTTATGAAAGGACACCTCAAAGTTAATTACAATAAAACACATAAATATCTAAATGGAAACCCTTCCAAGAAATACTGGGCAGACTCATGATCCCACATCTGGGATCCCATTCTTGTCCTCAGTCAAAAGAAATAGAGGAAGAGCTATATGTCTCCATACTTGGCAGAGTAAAAGCCTTGCAGGTTCTCAGCACTTGGGAGTGCTAAGATTTTTAGAGTTTGAAGGAAGTGCAGAGATTACTTAGTGGTTCTCTCCTGTCATTTTACAGATGGAGAGACAAGGGCCAGAGACTGAGGAATCTGCACAAGTCACACATAACAAACAGCAGCAATAATGATAAGGTGTTAGGTATCCTGTGAAATGCTTCACATATATCTTTCATGCATTCATTCAACAAATATTTATTAAATGCCTCTTACATGCCTGGTCTTGTTCTAATGATAACAACAACAACAAAAAAATCAACATGGCTGCAGAATGGTCAAAAAGAAAGCAAAAGCCTTTTTTTAAGCCTCAGAGTTTTTTCTGATAGGGGTAAACTGCCCCCACAGGCATCATATCAGGACTGAATCTGACAGAGATAAAATTTTCCAAGACCGAACAATGTGTTGCAAGGTATGACAAACATGAGATTAACCAGTTGGCCTCTTGACATCAACATTCCAGTGGATTTAAAAATTTTATAACCATCCTAGTTGGCTCCAGTGTCCAACTGCTGAACCCATTTCATTTCTGCTTATCTTTCCTCAAGTATGCTTCTTTTGTTTTAAAAGCCTTAGTCCTGCCTAACCTTGGTGGACATTGACCCCCTGTCCCCAGTGTGCAAATCTATTCTGCACCCATATGAAAGTGTCTTGGCTTCTCTTGTCAGCCTTGTTTGTGACTTCTTGGTTTGCATTAGGGGCTGGAGACACAACAGGCTAAGACCCCTCCCTATGACACGGGTGTTGGAGGGTGAGGGGACAGACAGAAATGAGTAAGCCAATGAAGCAGTACATTAGAAGGTGAGACATGCAATAGAGAGGGAACAAAACAGAGGGAGGAAGGGATCCGAAAGGCTGAGGAGTGGAGTCTGAACTGGAAAAGCATAGCTGGGATGGCCTCTTGGGTAAGATTTGAAGAAAGAAACTATTACTCCCCCTCACTTACATTTAAGAAAATAGAACTTCTGGCTCAGAATGGAAATGGTTCTCTGCAGCTTTAGGTCTTTGAGGGACATCTGCTCCAGAGGCAGAGGCTGAAGAAGAGAATTTTGGAGACTCAACACAAGTACCATTTTGGGGGCGCCATTCACCGGCTCACCAAGAAAGAGCTCAGCCATGGCTACATGCCCTTTCTGCCCTCCACCTGCCTTCATGCCACCACAGAGGGACCCCTCCCACTGGCCATCCGGTCCTGAGGACAGGCCAGCCTTGTGCTCTTGGCTCACCCCTACTGAGGTGCCTCTCTCCACATAAGGCCACCCCTGAGTCTTGGCACCCGTAGGCCCTGCCCTCCTAGGCCAAAGCAGCTGAGCCCCTGGGTGGACCCTCTGTGGCAACCCTGCCTGGTAACTACCTGAATGGCTCCAAGGAGTGGAAAGTGCCATTGCCCTATGGGGCACAGTCCTGACTATGTAGGTGCCACCTCTTTCCAAAGAAGGGTTTGCACAGCTGCCCTTCCTTGTGATTCACTCATTTGTCCATGGTTCCAGGTTCCCCTTTATAGGACACGTGACAGAAAACAAATCCCACTTCCCCATGACAGCCTTTCTCACCCTTTTTAAGATGATTCTTGGTGACCCTCTGAGTGGGTCACTTTTCACAACTGAGCACACCCACTTCCTCCATTGGCTGTCAAGGCAAAGTGGCTTCACGTCCCCTTGAATCCACTGACTTCTCCATAACCACCACGGCCCTCCTGAAGTGGAGTCTGGAGCCAAGGAGCCCCACAGCTATATATATTATGGGCTTCCCTGACTCTGTAGATAAAAACCACCCACTGTTTGCTGGAAATACGCATTGAGCTGCTGCTTATTTTTCCACAGAAATGAAGCAGGTGTAGGCCAACCAGAGATGCTGATGGACCAGGACTTAAACCCAGCAAAAGCAAGCTCAAATATACCTGTGCACGGCTGAGTGAAAGAGTCAGAGTAAAGAAGAGTGAACGAGTGCCTTACTACTGTTGTCACCAGAGTGCCACATTCAGACCGGAATGTTCTTAACTCCTGGATGACCCATCTGAGGAGGACTTCTGGAGGAGAACGTAAGATCTGAAGCTGTGAGAAAGATAGACAGCAAGACAGACTGACACCCTAGAGTAGTCACGGGGAGCTTGTTAGGCCTGGGAGGAACATTCAGAGTGGCGAGTGCTGAGGGGTTTGTAAGGTTAGGGTAGAATCAGCTTGGGGTTTTGTGGCCAGTTGGCTCTGGAATCATAGCTCCTCTGCATAGTGCAGGTTAAGTATCTCTTATCTGAAATGCTAGTGCTCAGAAATATTTTGGATTTGGGATTGGGGGGGTCAGAATATTTGCATGTACACAGTGAGATACCATGGGGATAGGACCAAGTCTAAACATGAAAGTCATTTACGTTTCCTGTATACTGCTTACACATACCTGGGAGGTAATTTTATATGATTTTTTTGTGCACCTGTGTTTTTATTTTGCTCCATCACATGAGGTCAGGGTGGAATTTTCCACTTGTGGTATTACATCAGTGCTCAAAAAGTTTCAGATGGTACAGCATTTTGGATTTTGGATTTTTTGACTAGGGGTATTCAACCTGTACCTGTGTCCTTGGGCAAATCACTTCCCTCTCAGCATCTCAGTCTCCTGATCCATAAAATTCCTTTTAAATACAGTATTTTGTCCATTCAATGAAATTATTTGTATGGTTCATTTGACATAGGACCTGGCACATAGTGCCCGGTGATAAATAGCAGTCATGGTGATATTAGATAGATAGATAGATAGATAGTTACATAGATAGCTATGTAAAATTATGGTTTCAACAACCAAGAGTATTTTGAGCAGGAGAGGAGAGTATTAAGTTGCATGCTTTGAATCTAAAGCCCAAGCAAAGGGAAGGGTTGCCGGCTGCAGTTTTGGTGAAGAAAGCCTTCGGGTAAGAGCTGGACTGGGCTTATGTTGTGGCTCTGTTTCATCTACACAGTGTGACTCCTTCCCAGGTGGCCCCCGGACATCTATTTTCCTATCCTAAAAAGTAAGGCAACTTTCAGCTTTGGAAAGGGGTTCAAAGAGGCTGGCAAAGGTAATTAGGAAGGCTAGAGCTCCTTGCCAGTGAGCTGTGAAGCAGAGAATTTGAGAGAGGGAAACAGAATCACAGTCTGAGAAAGAAGCAAATGCCCCTGAGGGTTGCTCAGAGAGACAGGAACAGAAAAGTCAGAAACCAGAGAAAAAGAAAAAAAAGTGACATGCAATAAATAAAAACTAGGAGGAAAAACTACATATGTATGTGTGTTTGTATGTATTTTCCCATGGATAAAAATAAAGCAAAATAAGTGGCATGTGCAATAAATAAAAACTAGAAGGAAAATACTACATGTGTATGTATGTATTTTTCTTATAGATGAAAATAAAGAGAACACCAGGAAGTAAAAACTCATCTTTACAAAGCACTGGCACATATGTTATGTATATTCTCAGAACTCATTTTGTAACAAGGAAGTAAAGACTCAAGGATGTATGTATACTTTCCATGTCAACAGCGTTTTGAGCTCAATCTCAAATCTATGTTTCTGCCTCTTTGCCCATGTTTTTACCATGACAGGATCTGCTGGCTATTTTAATCTTTAATGTCAATCTACTGCTTTGACGATAAATGTCAAAATGTTGAATTTGTACATTCTTGTTAGGACTTTTAGGGTCTTTGCAACTCAGAGTACTTAAAAAGGAATATTTTATTTTGATGCAATTCTTTTCCTGGGTTTATTTCTCAGCTGCTTCAGGTGTGTTTTTATCACACAGGTGATAAGAGTGAAGTCAATGAAGGTGAACTCCTGCAGGTCCCCAGGTTAATCATGCTGTGTTTTGCCAACTGTCACCTCAAGATAGACGTTTAAAAAGTTTGTTCAGTGAAAGGAAAATGTTATACACTTTGAATCTTTTGGCTTTTGAATGTGAATCATTAAAAAAAAATTCCAAAGGTGCTCAGACTTTAACCGTGGTTAACACCAGAAATTTAGCTATTTGGATGCAGCGATATTATTCTACTTCTCTCACAGGATATTCAGAACTAGGAAAGAAAACACTATCCTTTCTGCTTTTTCCACTTTCCAAAGACATCTCCTTTTAGAACAAGATTAGCTAAATACAATAATTTACTGTGAGCATAGAGCACTTGAATGAACTCTGAGGTCATTTCTTCACCCATTTCTTCAGTTGAATGAACTCTGAGGTCATTTCTTCACCCAGGAAGTGTTTACATTCCTGCTTTGGTTCTCTGGAGGAGCCTACGTAATCAGCATCTTTTGACCTGACTTACACCAGCTCCTACTGGGTAGAGAAGT